ACGGATTCTGGCCGTCTTGCCTTCAGCCTATCACAGCTTTGTTTACCTACCACAGCTTTGTTTTTTGCGGACCAATCAATGTCTTTTTGCACACATCCCCTAGCGTCCCTTGCTAATTGCTTTCTTTTGTGTGCCTTTGTCTTAGTCATTCATGTATTTAACCACGCTTAGTAAGCATCGTTTTGTTTTCAATCAATTGCTTTTCCCACCACCGCCCCATTTCTTCCTCCCTATTCATTTTATTTTAGCTCTGCTGCTTCAGCACACTACACTGGGCTCTGGGACTCCATCCTACCCCCATTTCAGGGCTCGGCGGCCATCTCTTGGTCACCTCCCATCTATCTTGGCTTCGCAGCAGGATCTCCTTGACCCATCAAGGTCAAGACCTCGACCTACCTTGCGGGTGGGTCATGGCTTTGACCTCTGTAGTGTGACTGAAGGAGCCCCTTCCCAATTTTATATGGTAGTTATCTTATTATATTGTGTTATTTTTATTATATTGTGTGCTGTGCTTCTGTATTTGATTAAGACTTGTATTTTACCATTGTCGTTTTTTCTATTAAATGCAAACTGTTCCTCTTACAAGCGTGTGGCGTGTTACAAAGTAGAAAGTAGTTGGTACAGAGTAACACAAAATGGTTCCACATCAGTGTAATTGAGACTACAGTCTTGTTTGTGAAAGAAAACATACAAATGCATATTATGGCAGTATTTTTGGTCTCTACATATGGTGTCTGTGGTGAAGCACTGCATGAGACCAAGTCTAAATAACCTCACTTTCTCACAGTGCTTTCTCCATGGTCTGGATATTATTTGACGTGGGTCTATTAGTTAAGTTGTGGTAAGGTTAGTGAATGGATAGATCAGTTTCAATATTTATCATATTTTACTGGGGGGAGTCTATTTCAAATTTCAATATACAAACAAGGGGCCAAAGCTCTATTTTAATCCCCCTATCACAGCCAGCCAAATATATCAGCTTGATCCTAGAACACAGAGGTTACTGTTACCAGCACTTAATATGCATACCTTTTATACAATAAACAAATCCATTTCATCACACTGTGTATAAATCTAGATTGGGTTAATAATTATAATGTATATATATTTATTATAATCACTTTAGGCTGAACTTACACAAAAATAAATATACAAATATGACATAAAACAGACCCACAGAGTGTTACATGCAAATATGAACACATTATATCAATGTATGAATGTTTTATTCCAGCTCGGCCAAACTGCATTAGTTGTTGCAAGTGGAAAAGGACATGTTGAAGTTGTTAAAACACTTCTTTCAGCTGGGGCATTAATTGAGAGTAAAGACGAGGTATAGTTATTATCTATTTTTTATAATGTGTGATAACTTGTATACAGAGAAGGTTGTACAACTGTATTTAAAGCCGATCATTCATAAATATGCCAATGAGATCTGCAAATCTATTCCTCCTTCATTGGCACCACTAATTATTACCAAACGCTTCAGCGTGGTATTAAGAGTTTGTTTTCAGGGCTGGGTGATACCAATTCGTGACATATCGTGCCTGTCAATAATATCGTTAAAAGTGGCAAATAGTATAATGGAAATCACACTCTCAGTGATGTATGTCATGTTAACTTAATGTATCAATTGAAATTATGTCACATGATTTACAATATTTGATTCAGATGTTTGCAACTAGCACATCAAATTTGACCTCCTAACCTTGTGACCTATTTTCTTTATAATGTGACACTGTTAGTAGTCAAACAAACAATAATATCATCACATATCTGGTATGATGTCATCACATTGGAATCTAGTTAAACGGCCAGCTTGCCAAAACTGTTGATTTGTTTTATTTGTCATTAAAAATCACTTGGTGCAAAATTATCATGTTTTATTATTATTTAAAAGCAATCACACTTCCTAGCAGCAGCCTCCAGGTCAATTTTCTTAATTTGGTAATATATAAAAGATATAAAAAGTGAAGGCAACATACCTGGATGGTTTTCACTCAAATGACCTAAAGTTATCTTTTTATTCAACAGAAACAAGAACATAGATTTCAGTTCATGAATAAAAAATATGACCAAACTGTGAAAGATTGTTTTTTGTATCCACAGGGGGGATTTACAGCATTGCTGGCCGCAAGTCAATTTGGGAAAATGGAAATTGTCAAAGAATTAATAAAGCTTGGAGCAGACATACATGCCCGCACAAATGTAAGTGTTGTGTAGCAGCTCATCAAATTTGAGATGTAAACCTGCCTCAATGGATCAAACTATACTTGTAAGCGCCCTCAATGATCAGGTTTGGTAGGTAGTACCTTTGTTTTTATTTATATCAGGATTTATTAATCAGTCCTACCCATGTGTATTAAATTTGCCGGATGAGTTATAGTAGCAGGATAGTATTGTTACTAGAAAATGCTATGAAAATGTTGATGGATGTAACTGAACCAATAGTAGCCAAAACCTATATATTTTTAGAACGCATTTGACCTGAATTTTTTTAATTAAATAAACAAGAACATTAGCTTCAAAGGTGTATTCAAATTTTGTAAGATGAAGCGCCAGTATTTTCTAAAATATTGTCAGAAAAATAGTTGTGACCTCATGGTAACACTAAAATTGTGAAGAAATAGTTATGATTTTAGAAATGATATGAACATAAATGATAATGAACATAAAAACACTCATTTATACTATGTGATATACAATGCTGTATTTTTGTTATAGCAAGAATAACCATTAATATGATATTAGTGTTTTTGTCAATGTTACTCATTTAAGTCATGTGACCCTTAAATAAAGTCTACACAAAAAATATGTTTTTCAAAAATGTAGACCAAATGCTTAAGAATACATAGGTTTGATAGATTTGGGCTTTTATTAGTTTGGTTTTAGTCATCAACATTTTCCGAGTAAATAACAAATACTATCCTGCCACCTTAAAACACAGTCAATGTTGAACACATGAACTGGGAGGTATAAAATGGTATAATTGATTGTGCTAATCTAGTATGTATATGTGGTTCAAAAGTATTTCTAAAAATGACTACAAGAGGGCGCTGTATGGCTGATCAATTATTTTCTCTGTTTAAAGGTAACCAATTCTCATATCTGTTATTAGAAGAATCTCTTGGACCAGTTGACTTCTGGTGTGTTGGTGGTGAAAAATTTATGAGAAAATTGACCACATTTCACTTAAATTACTGCTTAGGTTTTCTATTTTCAGTATTACAGTACTGTATGTTTGATTTTGGGCATAATTCTTATCTTTGTCGTTACATTTTCATTTTATTTATAGCAAAGGCCATGACATTTATTTACATACTTTTTAATAACCACGAAAAATTTTCAAAAGGCCATTGGAGGCATTGGTTGCATCTTTAGAAATAACACTTTTATCAGTGTACAGCAATAAAATGTTAAGACAGTCAGAAGTCATCTCACTCTCTCCTTATAGAACAAATATTATTTTCTTCAATCTGTCTAAGCACGTTGTTCATTTGTGTTCCTTTTTTTTACCTTTTGGAAATTCTTTTGGAAATTTGTGTCTGTATTCTATATTTTGTTCACATGCATTTTTCTCCAATGCATGACAATGAAGTCACCTCAAAACAGTTTTAATCTGAACTTGTTAGGAGTTTTCTTGCTACACTTAAAACAGCTAAACTTAAAAAGAACTTATCTTCCTTGTTTTAGTTTAGTCTCCATCATACATGGATTATTCATTAAGTGTTATGTAACCACACAAGGACATTTCAAGCATACCAATGAGAGCATAGTCACTATTACTGTCACCAGGAACTACCCAATGCCCTTGTTCATGCAATTTTCAACAAAACTGCCTTATTAAAATTCAATATTAATGCTGCAGAGCAGCTATCAGGTTGAAAACTGACAGTAAAATATGACTTAATATTTACCCAATATGTTTGGAATAAAATGCAGTGATGTGAATTGTAAATCATAAAAGCATGCGAAACATGTAAAATATCATTTTTTGTTTCTGAAACTTGAAAGGTCTTTCCCATGAGATGCTATACTGGACCAGCCATTCTGTAAATGAGTTTCAGGCATTTTTCCTGTTTTTCACTAAAAAAAAAATGGCGGCCAAAGCCAGCAAATCGTCTAGACACTCAAAAAGAGGTCAAATAGAGAAACTTGAGTAAAAACAATAGGGTTCAAACAGACTTGGACCCTAAAATGAAAGTCACAACATCAGTGGCACAAATAATAACATTGATGAACTTTAGATTCAATCACATTCACTTGCATTACAAGCAGCAAAACAACTAACCAACAAATAAACAGACTACATCAACCAACTACAACATCACTACCTGCTATGAAAGTAAACCTGACAAACCGAATACTATGTGTGCTATTTTCAAGCTGACGTAACATGACAAACACATGCTAAATTGTCTTGTGTATGACAACACAAATTTACCTGTAACTATAACATGCAGCAACACTATTCATCATATTACATATTCTGGCTACATCATAAAATAATATGACTGCATGCTACTGACTAGTGATAACAATGCAGACACAAAAAAGTGTTGAACTGAAATTATCTACAATGAATTTTATGTTATAACAGTGCACCTATTCAAAACACGCTCCCTGTCTTCACCAGTAATAGCTTCAAACACTGAACGGAACGTAGCCTCTGTACATCACACCAACTTCAGTCAGTCTATCATATGATTCATATATACATTTTATTAATGGTTTAGATGCTTGAATTTCTCGATAGACTCAGAGTCACACCAAGATATAGGGTGGTACCACAAAACTGCTGGATAAACTATCTCACTGGTCTGGCACCACCATGCTCATGGATTCCCACATAATTTTTTTTTTATTTCTGCAGCTATCTATCAGACCTAACCCAACTTATAATGTTACCAGTACATAGACATAGACAATGCAAACTAAAATCTGAAAGCCAATATTATTAAAAGGTTTATTTGGGAAGGTGAAAACAATAAGACAACTATCCATTGTTATTGAACTAACAGTACTGTTTGTAACATTGAGGGCGCTGTAACCTCATAATCACACAAGAACTGAAATAAATCTGGGAGACTTTTTTGTTCTTCGTATTATAAAGCTGCACATTGTCTTTAATGATATTTTACTATTTTATAGATCTTATATCAATGTACGACAAACATACATAAGGGCCCAGGGTTAGTAAATTACAGACACTATAGATCTTATATCAATGTACGACAAACATACATAAGGGCCCAGGGTTAGTAAATTACAGACACTATAGATCTTATATCAATGTACGACAAACATACATAAGGGCCCAGGGTTAGTAAATTACAGACACTATAGATCTTATATCAATGTACGACAAACATACATAAGGTACCAGGGTTAGTAAATTACAGACACTATAGATCTTATATCAATGTACGACAAACATACATAAGGGCCCAGGGTTAGTAAATTACGGACACTATAGATCTTATATCAATGTACGACAAACATACATAAGGGCCCAGGGTTAGTAAATTACAGACACTATAGATCTTATATCAATGTACGACAAACATACATAAGGTACCAGGGTTAGTAAATTACAGACACTATAGATCTTATATCAATGTACAACAAAC